TGCAATAAATCATTTGATTATCCATCTAATATGGTAGGATTGATTAAGTACTCATGCACGTGTTACATTAACATAGTCAACTAATAAACCCCACAACAAAATACATAAATGAACATGTGTGATATTTAAAACGTAAAATTCATTATGAAAATTTCTCAGAATTTCAGTGAATGAAGTCACTAATAACAAAATAAATATCAAAATGTTTATGCTTTTTTATAGTTTGTTTTACAGCTCAATTTCATGATACTCTAAAATAGTTATTTTTTACATCCATTCCGCAAGAAAATAATTAATAAATTTTAAATATTCATATTATAAAGACGAGTATATATTAAAATTAAAATTTAATCTTGATATTTTCTGTCAATCTTTCGTTTAATTACTGTCACATTGAACGATAAATTCAGGAACTAATAGTTTCCATGCTCCATATTATGCATAAGTATGCATAAATGCATACAATGCATATACATTTACGCACTATTACTATCAGCTGGTTTTATCTTTCAAGTATATATAATAATTATAATACTTTGTAGATCACGTTTGTCACCGATGCTGACATTTCCTAGTAGTGCCATTGTTAATATTGTCAACGTACATAGTTTTTAGTCATATTAAATCAACTTTATTTTTGCACAAACATATCTGCATAATATCGTCAACAATGTTTACTTAAAATACAAAAACTTATTCTACAAAATGAAAAATATGCTCATTTCTACATAGCGTTTAATAACTACAGATTATACGCAATCCATTTTATTCTGACCATCTACGAAGAAGCCAAAAACGTTTCCAAAAGCTGAAACCAAACTATCAGACTACAGTTCCGAGAGTTGGATTTAGATCTGACCGCAATAGTGGCCAATCCTTTAGCCAGATAATGGCTACCAACTGTCAAAGGTAAACATTCAAGATAAACAGGCAAAGATTACTCACTCCGAGCTGGTGGCAATACTGGAAGTAACGACGATTTATATTTATGGTGTAGCAAAAAACATTAAAACAGTCCTCTCAAATAAACTTTTGGATTTGGAAGACAAAAATGTGTTTTTTTTTTAATAGCCTTTTCAAAAAAATAAACAATAAAACAGAAATAAAATAAATAATATTGAAATTTTCGACATTATAATTCGGAAAAACTTGTAACAAAATAACATTGATTAGGTAATAAAAGATATTCTAAATAATGTATTTTCATATTTACTCCAATATGGGAAACTATTATCTACAAAAAAGTTTAACTTTAGCAACATTCCCTGTCCTTCATATTGTTTTTTTCAGGATTTTTTCATTTTTTTATAATACTATATAACTCTTTATTTGGGTTTTATTTTGGAACTTAATAGCATTTCCAGTGTTTGTTTACCAATATTTAATTTTTTTCAATAGGTAATTCACCCATTCTTTGTAAAAAGGTATTTAAAGCGTGATGTAACATGATGACCATAAAACTGAAGTACCATTCTATAAATAAATTGCATTAATAATATCAGAAGTAATGATGTTCAACTAAAAATCAAGTATGAATTTTGAAAGCTGTACAAGACTTCTTTATTTCCCAGCATGTTCTGATAAGCTTAATTAAAATGTTTTAGATTGCCTGTTGCATTAAGCTATTCCTCCTCTCTGTCAACTTTTGCAACATAAATCTTGGGAACGGATGTCACAAAGTGGGTCATAAAATATCTGAAACGTTTAGTGTAACAAATGTTTGTATTTTCATAAATTTCGGATGAAAATTGATGACTTTTTAAAATGTTTCCTTGGTCGTTTAAATTATGGAAATATCAGTACTTCGTTATACTGCTCGACAATGTTACAATGTTAGTAATATATTGCATAGGGTTATGTTTAAATGAAAGTTATAACTTTTACGTAAGCTATTTAATTAGTATCATCCTTACACATTACAGTAATCTGTTAGTCATAAAACCCCTTTTATTCACGGTTCATGGTTAGTTAGATTTTTTTACTAACGTTGGTTACATTAGAACTGTGTGTGATTTTTGAGCAAAAGTATACTGCCACATGATTTCTCTTTCCCACATTTTTTCCATTTTCATCGTCTTTCAATTTTTTTTTATCTTAACATTTGCAGATGTTAGCAATTTTGTTTTCAATGTAGTCAGGTCTGTATACTTATCTTGTACGGTTTTTTTCAACTTTAGTTCCTTCTCGGTTTTTCACGTTTGTTTTTTTAATAACATGGTTCAAAGCTTGTTACTAAGGAAAAGATGAGTAAACAATGAGTGTGGAATGAATGGGAAGACAGTTTTATTACTAAACTAGTTCTTTAGTCAGGGTCAGTTATTAAAAGCATAATTGCTTTTTGTTTGTACTAGTATTTAGCTATTTCATTTACTTAGTGAAGATGTGATGTAACTCTTGATTACATTTCTCAAAACATGGTCCCTGCATTTATTATTTTCAGTGGCTGATAGCTCTGGTTTAACTACTAGAAAATTTTGATAGAATAACTGACTGAAAGTCATATCACAAAAATGTAAACGGTTAGATTTAATTTTAAAGCGTAATCATCCCCTTTTTGTCAACCTTTTAGAGTGAAAGGTGAATTAATCTTTATGTAGTTAAATAGCTAGAGTAAATTTTCTCTTGTTTTTTTTTTTTTTTTTTTTTTTTTTTTTGTAGGGGATATTATGTTATACATTAGAAAAACTAACGAAACCTCAAACACTTATCAAAGATCAATCAATTGTTATATCACGTTAATACAAACTACATGAAGAAAGCTTTGCTTTTATGAATATTTATGTAGGTTCTAAAACTCACAGTATACAATTTATCAGTTTTGATAGTAGTCTATGGTAAATTCTGTAAGACTAAGACACATATATCGTAAAATAATAATCAATTTGAATTATCAGAATCTTGAAATTTACGATTTACCCAAAGATTATAAGACTTGGTATTTATACATGTTTATAAAACGGAATTTGGTCCACTGAACGTGTTTAATGCCATTTTAAAATTGCATTCACTCCCACAACCGTCGCCCGGCTTGACACAAATCCACCGAAATCAATTACACAGAGTAATTAATTGTGGTTCAGGCTACCATTCTACTCATGTGATCCAAACAACGTGACCCTTAAAATAAAGTTGAGTTGTTGTTTATTAAATTTTCATAATCTTCTGTTATATAACAACCCTATGTTTATGATACAGTATAGGATAAAGAGCATGTCTTGTATGGCATTTTTTTAACTAAATAAAACATTTCCAAATCCATCTTTATGGCCCCTGGACTATGTTCAAGAGAAGAGAAAATAATCCGTCAAATAGTCCAACGATTAAAATTTACTCACTAGCTTACATGCTTCATTAAATGTACATTAAAATGTATTTAGTATAATTAGCGAATTTCCCTACAGGGAAGTAGCTATTACCGTAGGTGGCACGGTAAGACCTAATCCCAGGACCGATATGCTTTTTCATTTTCATTAAATTTATCTTAAACCTTTTTAAAGGGATTAAAAAACACATAATTTAGTATATATAAGTGCTTTTTACAGTTATTGGTCACGGAGAAAAAAATTGTAAATTTAAAATTCCCATGTTATTCTTATGGAGAAAAAGTAATCTCTTGTAGTTTCCTTGTTTATTGATACATATATTGATCAAACTTGGCAAATTTGTTTATTTTATACTAATCTATTTATATTTGATCAAAAACATCTTTATTAATCTACCTGTAGCAACAAACATGGGTGCCAAATACAAAAACACAAATCCATAGGTCTGAAGTTGATGTATGAAACTAAACAATACAGGTTTTTTCATAGTATTAAAAAAATGTTATTAAATACAAAAACTTGTATCGATCTATTGTATTTTGGAATATAAATTGAGAAACTCGATAATATTAATCTGATATTGCTGTAAGATGTATTGAAGTTAGCATTTGTATTTGGATTGTCCAATACAGTTAATACATTTGTTGAAAAGTTTGGTAAAGGAAATAGAGCTTGAGATACCGAGCTAAGAATAGCTTTTAAAACTGTGATGAGGAATCATTTAGACAAATCTCATCTTTATTTAACTTTGGTAAAGTTTTAGGACTGCTTAAAGCTTATTGCGTTTAGTAAAAGTACCAAAGTGTAATCTTAACTTAATTCCTCTTACTTTACCGGTATTTAATCAGCAGTCACTTAAATTTAAAAACATATTTTAATTTTAAAATTCTACACCCACAACCATTATAAACCTATACTCCAATAGCGCTATGATTAATAATGTAGGGGATTAAAATAAATCGATGTACAAAGAGGTTTTATGCAGCATTATTTATTAATGTAAAAAAATACACTCTTTCACTCATGGGTTTCCAACAGTCGTAAAAATACATTATTGAATATTTACAAAGACAACTAGGCCTACCCTAACTAAAATTAATCATGGGTTATTTGTGAATTGTAATTACCTAACACGTTTCATAAGAAATCACAGTTATGGTCTTTAAAAATAGATCAAAACAAAGATTTCAGTGAATAGGAGGTTTTGGGAATCTGTGCATCCCTCATTACTGGTCTGATTCGTACGGAAGTAAATAAAACTACTTTTAATAAAACATATTTACACCTACAAGGATCCTCTCAATATGGTAAATACAGATAACAAATGGTAATTGGTTAAGAGTAACACTTACCATATGTCATTTAACTTTGCCATCTTGTACATGTTTGAGTGTTAATAGAAAGATTTGTATTTACTTTTTGTTAATTTAATTACATATACTATGCTTTAGGAAGCTATTTAAATGAAAGTTCGTTATCAATATCAAAACTCTAACAAGTAACATTAATTAAATACTGACTAGTTTATAGTTAACAGATTAATAAAGCTATATTTTTTTGGAAACTCCAAAGGAAGATAACATTAGACGTTTACTGAATAATCTATTTACTGTTTGTTACCTAACTAATGTTAAAGCCCTAACATTAATTAAATACTGCCTAGTTCATAGTTAACAGATTAATAAAGCTAATGAGACATTAACCATTGTACGTAATCCTACTTAATCGTAATCTAAGTACGAACAAGCCATGGACATATAAGGGGCCACCCTCGCCTTCAACTCACGTTCAATCATAGGCTTCAACTCCGGGGTGAACTTGTTCACCACCATGTTGGCCAGCTTGTTGACGAACTTCTCATTGACCAAGTCAATCCCGGTGATGGCCAGGTCGATACCCTCAAACTCCGTCACCTCCAGGACATCCACTGACGCAGCACAGTCGTCGTCGTCCAAGGTCAAGGTTACCTGGGCAGTCAGCAAGTTGCTGGCGACTGACGCTCTGAACCCTCCGCTGACTGACAGTATTCTGACTGACGCGTCGAAGTTGCTGTAGGCCACCTCCAGCTGGTCCAGCGTCACTTGCACAAACACCGTGAGAGTGTCCGAGGTTGTTGAGACGGTCAAGTTTACGAACCTCAAGGTGGAAAAGTTCCCGATGGATCCTCCAGTAGCTTTGATTTTCCCGTTAAGTAAACTTCCTCCGAAAGTCTCTGTGAAGTCGTCGACATCTATATAGCTTCCTTCTTTCTCTAGGAGTTCTGACGCGACTCCTCTTACGAGGTCTCCGACGACGTCGTTCCAATAAGAGTCGTCTTGAGTGTCCCTCTTGATTCTGAAAGAGAACCCGTTGGTGAAGAGCGTGAGGAGGATAAACAAAAACGCGTTCATTCTGAACCAACTCACTGAATATAATGTCTTATCTTTTACGCTCCGCTTATTTATAAGACGAGGATTTTTGTGCAAATATGAGTGAAATACGATCCTTGTTTTCGCACTGTTTTCTAGAATGTGGAACATTTCTGTGAATCACAGATTTGCGTCACTTATCTCAGGTAGTGTTAAGTTGAGTAGGTTGAGTGACTAATAGAATACATTTTAGTAAGGGGAAAATAGGATTATAGTGATTTACTAACATAGAAATATGACCTTGCTTGGTAAAAATGTTTAATTTACTCTAAAAAATAAATGGAATTGTCTTGCAAAATTAGTTTTCAATTACGATGATTAAGCCTGCAACTGTAAGTAGAACAGTATGTATTTATGAGTATACACAGGAGTGAGAGTGTAGCCTATTATCATAAATATAGGCGTGTCAAGCCATAAGTAAAAATTATATTTAGTGCGATTTATGTTAGGCATTTTTTAGCATTTCCACTAGTTATGACAAAACAGTATTACTGGCACATTTCTCATACAATATTCTTTTTTTTATATAGTTTCGTTTTGCATTTATTTAAGCTTATCAGCTTTACGTTCATTTTAATTATTTGCGTTCCAAAAATAACTAAAAACGCAATAAAGATACATCAGTTTTGTTATAACTTAATTTTCAGTACTTTAATATCAAGCTCTGATTACGAAATATACTTTGAAAATTTAATTTCTAGATAACCTGGATTTTTGTTTTGGATTTTCAGAGAAGTTTATTGTAGTTTATTGTGTAATGATATTTACATAGTGTTGCTTAAATATTTATTTATTAATACAAGTTGAAGTTGGAATCATTACAATTTTTACTTCTTCTCTCTCAATACTTGAACGTCATTGGTCCGTTATCCGTGTTGTTATGAGTAAAACTATACTGTTATGAAAGTAAACGATGCTGTTATGTGAAAGTTTTCAATTTTAAGAACTGAACTTAAACGGCTACTTTAAAAAATGTTTGTAGGTAAAAACAATTAAATTGGTGATCAAAAATCCACTATTTCCATAAAAATAACTTACTACAGTATTTTGCCACAAGCACAAATACAATTTAATTTGAAACACAATTTCAAACCAGGGGACATGTGATTGTATTATCAATTACGTAAATATTCAATAAAAAATAAGTACAATAATTAATGTTATCTACTAAATGGTGCACATGTAAATAGTTGCTGTAGTTGTACTAGATATTTTGATTGCCTACTACCTGATTTATAATAAATACATTTATTTTATAAACTATAGGAAAACCATTAGAACCCACTAAAATGTAAATTGATTGGAAATGGTAAATGTTTTAAAACAATGGGTACCAGTATTTTTGTTGCCAAAGAGGTCAATAAGAACAAAATCCCAGAACTCCAAAAACGGGTTTACGTCCATGTATTAAGGACATGCCTATCCGTTAAGTAGTTTTTGTATTACTCATATATCACAAAGACACCTCTTAATCATAGAATAATAGATTAAAATGTGTAAACGTAAAGGTTTTCAATTAATTATATTTTGAGATATGAAATAAACCTCTTGCCTCGTTGTTTACAGTAAAAACCTGTAATAAAATTCAATTAGTATAGTTACTGTATAATATTGTTCAGTGTTACTAAGCTTATGCAAACTAAACACTTAACATAATATTTACAGCTAGACTTATATCCCTCCTTGCAAAAATTATCTTGTTATTACCCCACAGCTACTGTTATCAACATCCAAATAAAGATGTGATATGATTTCACACGAAAACAACACATTACTTTACTCACAATGTTAGCAGTAGTACTAATTTTATCAGCGGTCTTTGGTTGTTTGGGCCATTCGCTTTCAAAGCGGGAGACATTGATTAACAGCCAAATTGATGAACTCATAGAGGACTTCAGTGCGCTCGTCGAGTCAGGCGGGGTCCAAAAAATTCCCATTGACGACTTTTCCACAACATTCGAGAAGAAAGTTAGATTCGTCAAGCTCAAAGGTATTTTTGAGGCGAACAATGGATATGTGCAGGATTTGTCGACGATCCAGAGGACAGGGGATGCTACAGTGTCAGCGACCCCTACTACAGTCACTGTGATTCTTCACCTAGGTCTGCGAAACCTCCAGGTACACTACGAGAACTACAAGGCCACCTTTAACAAGATCAGCGTGTCTGGAGACATGAACTTGGATGTGGCAAAGAACTCAGTCTTCGTCCAGATGACCTTCACCTTCGAGGACGAAGAATCTTGCAGTACTGTTCTAGACAATGCTTACATAGAAGAATTGGATGGGATAACAGTGACAGTGTCCAACCTGGGTCCACTTACGTGGACGTACGAGAAGATAGCGGAATGGGTCATCAGGAAGTTCAAGGATGAAATGACGGGGAAAATTGAAACTAGTGTGAAGGACAGTTTTATGAAACGTCGGAAAAACTCGTTGTGTGAGTTAGTAAGGTACCTTTAGGTTTCTTAAGTAAAGTAGTAGTTTTGTGGTATTATTTTGTTTATAATCCGCCTTTTAACAATACGATTCTGGTATCAATTTGCGGTAATTTCTTACTACAAATATCGTTTGAGCCTTTATAACCATGAAAATAAAAACCAGAATGAGCTAATCTGGTTTTAAAATAAATCATTTCATCCCTTCATTGGATTATTTTTTTATAATCCTTTTGATGTTATTGTTAAGAAGTCTCTGTATATAATCATCGTATTTACAAATAGATAGACAGTAGGCCTACATGTAGATTATTGTACGGTAGTTCAACAAGTTGAAATGGTTTTGTTTATATGGAAAAGCCCATGGAACTAATATAATTAAAAGTTATGGCTAAACATCAGACCACAAAAACAATTTGAAGTGACAAGACTGGTAATTAATTTTAATTAATTATTGTACAACAGGAATAATAATGAGTGAGGAGGGTTTTGGAAATATAAACTGCACGCTTTATTGGCAATTGCATTTGAATATCATAATAATAATAATGGAGAACTAAATCTTTATATATAAATGTTTATTAAATTACCAAACCTTTTTTAAGTAGTTTATAAATTGTATGAAAAGTGATTAGACATTATTGGGATTTTATGATAAAATATAGTATAACTAGAGTGCTTGCATTGGATATTTAATAGTCCAAACGAGTGAATTCAGATTAATTATAATTTCGTCTCATTATAAAAATTAATAAGAAACTTATTTCTATAAAGTTTATCTACATTGAATACCCAAATCAATATCCTATCAGAAACAGATTCATCCAAATGTATTGTCCATTTGTTTCGGTTTGTCGAGGATTGTATTGGTCCTCCATTATAAAAATTGTCTATAAATACGATATTTATGTTAGTATTTTTACTCATTTGTGTTGTGATGTTCTGTTTTCGCAATTCATTTAAATTATGTTCTATTGGATTTCCGGTTCTCTTTTCTAACCAGCTTGATAATGTTTTTTTTTTATTCAACCGTGGCTGTGGTTTTTGCTTTTTAATTTACCGCAATTAACTTGAGATGTTATTTAATGAAATAGTTTAACCAGATTAAAATACCTAACCAACATTCTCCTATTAGTTTAGGAGATTTTGCCCAAAAGTACCATGAGCACACGCTACTATTCAAGGAAGCTACTATTTAAGGAAGATTAGGTACGAAGTTGGTTACCAAGAAAAACTATTTCAAAAGTTTATTCTCACTAACCAAAAATTTGATAGTGTTCTTAAACTATAGTAACATAGTATACATAGTAGGTATAGTAATAATATAGGGGGTTGAAATAGCTTAGGGTCGTATTCGATGAGTAAATAATCCAAACAATAGTTTGCAATTCTATGTAGTTGTTGATTCTGCGGAAGCACGTGGCCAACCTCAGTTCAGACTACATAATAAACCATCTATATACTAAACAAAACTAATTACATCTTTAATGAAGCTTTTCGTGGAATCGTATTATTTCCTCAAAGGTGCCACCAGTGTATTAGCCGAACAAGGGCATTGTTCTAACTTTTACAATAGCAAATAAAATACTCCAAACGCTGCATTGTTTTAGTTGGGATGATTATTATCAGCAAGAAAACTACTTTGGCAATGCACTTAGTTGATTGAAGTTCATTGTTGGTGATGGTGAGTTAATGTTGTTCAAAGGTTTATTGCGGACATTTTCCATCACGAAAGTAAAAAACAAAACACAACGTTTCGGGATCTGGAATCTGATCCCGTCTTCAGGTGAAAAAAAAACTTAACTAACACATTACAACTAACAATACACAAACGCCCAACCTAAGTTGGAATACACTACCGAGGGGTTACTCTTTTCAACACAAACTCAAGTTTGAATACTGAAGAATGATGAACGGAGAATAAACAGGAATCGAAAATGAACTTGCGGCCCATGCAATGAAACATACATTTACTTTATTGCACTGAAATTAAAGAATACAATTTCTTCTAGCTTTTAAATGAAAGATTGATGAGGAAATGAGAATAAAAGCCAGTTATGTGCCTCTTTATGAATCACGTTCCTCTGTTGAAGTGAAGTTAACTCGCTTGGCTGAATCTTTGAGGCAAGATACACAAGAATACAGAGGTAGACGTGTAAAACATATCAAAGATAAATGTTAGAAGAGACAATTAATTACAACGAGTTACAACACAAATTAATTAACTTATATATTAAACAACAACATTATATACACATAATGCATGTTCAATTTTATAAGGTTAAGCTGGATCAAAAGATAGTTGGATAAATATGAGTTTTAATGACATAAAAAAATGTGGAACTTGATTTTTTATAGTTTTAAACATACTGTTTCCTTGAGTTCCCTAATCGACACACAAAGCATGCTATAGTTTACAGTATATTTTTCTTTCAGCCCACCGTAGTTTTTGTATTTGGAAAAATCTATAATGGCTTAACGAATATAATACATTTACGTTTATTTAATTTATGAGATTGTACATTGCAGCCAAAAAATATTATATATACACTTTTTCAAAGTCCTAAATGTACCTTACCAATTCACATATACTTGAAGAATTCTTCGGTTTTCTGATGAACCTGTTTGCCAAACTAGTTTGAATTTGCTCGGTCAAGTCGTCTCGGAACATCATTATGACCCACTCCACAATCTTCTCGTACGTCCAACCAAGTACACCAAGGTTTGATACGGACACTGTGAATCCATCCAACTCCTCTATGTAAGCATGGTCAACAACAGAACTGCAGGATTCTTCGTCCTCGAAGGTGAAGGTCATCTGGATGAAGACAGAGTTCTTCGCCACATCCAAGGTCACGTCTCCAGACACGCTGATCTTCTCCAGGGTGGCCTTGTAGTTCTCGTAGTGTACCTGGAGGTTTCGCAGACCTAGGTGAAGGGTCACAGTGACTGTAGTAGGGGTCGCTGACACTGTAGCATCCCCTGTCCTCTGGATCGTTGACAAATCCTGCACGTTTCCATTGCTCACCTCAAAAGTACCTTTGAGCTTGACGAATCCAACCTTCTTCTCGAATGTTTTGAAAAAGTTTCTGATAGGAAGACTTTGGACCCCGCCTGATTCGACGAGCGAATTGAAGTCATCTATTAGTTCATCGACTTGTTTGTTGATCAGTATTTCCCTCTTTGAAATTGAATGGCTTAAACAACTAACTGCAGATAAGGCAACCACTAGGGCCAACATACCGAGCGGAAATGCCTTGTTTAGTGCGGAAGGTTATCTCGTCTTTGTTTGAATGTTGATAAAAGTAGCTGTGGGGTAATAAACAGGTAAGTTTTGCAAAGTGTCTTAGACTAGCTGTAAATTTATTAAGTATTCTGATTTGCGTAAGGAGTGTAACTCTTAAAATAAGTGGCATTTTTTAGTTTCATGATATTAAGTGTTTGCCTTTACTCTAATTAAAACTTCAATATTCGTTATGGAAGTACAGTATCATGAATACCACCATTTGGCACATGCTCTTCATTGGTTTTAGCACATTTGTAATAAAGGGAATAAGTATTGCCTTATCGTAAGACCTTGACCTGGAACCGATTTAATTTTTCGCTTTGAGGTCCCCGGGGCCAAAAACACCCTTCGCTCAAATTCATATAAATATATGTGCCGATAGCGCGATAATGATTAACAAAAATGTTCATATTTTGATGAAATTGCTACGTTTATTCAAACGATTTTGCGAACTAGCATGATCGTATGAAGTTTGGCCTAAATTTCAACAGATGATCGGCCTATGGGACTGGGTTAATGGGGTTTTGTGGAGTAAAAATTGTTTTTCTTTTTTTGACACTAAAAACATAAGATTTTCAATTTCAATGTCATTTAAATTGGAAATACGTCTGACAATTTTAGGGGAATATTTTAGTAGAAATCTAGCCAGGTAAATGGGAATTAGCTTAGTCTGCAAGTTTGCTGTGGCGGGGATATTTTGAGTTACAAAAAAATAACTTTTGAATTCATATACTTTTAGAGTCATTTAGCAAAATCATTATGAAAACTTTCCCACTTTTCTACTATTATTTGTAACATGAATAATGAGTATATTAAATTGCAGCCTTCTATCCATTGGGGAAATTGGGGAAGTTGGCTTTACTCTTATATATTGAGACGTGTGCGTATAAATCACCAATTATGATAAACCCATTTGTTGTGGAAAACTGAATTCCGTTGTAACTATAAACTCATAACGCAAAGTCAAAGTAGAAAGCTAGTCAATTAATACTCCTAGTTACTGCTAAAGTAAGGTAAGTATTTAAGCACTATTATGTCAATCTGCAAACACAACACACGAAACCTTTATGAAATGTGCAAAAATTCATGTTAACACTAAATTAAAATAATACAATGAAACTGCCTGAATTGCAGCAATGGAAAAATGCTGTTCTTTATATTACTTAGAATTTAGTAGGGCTGATGTTTACATATTTTTTTAGTTGTAAATGCACCAATTTACCTTTAAATGAATGTTTCGATTGTATATATTATTTTCTGTATTTGAGAAACATCGGTTAACATACAATAATTGGGCAATCAATGAGTCAATTATTTATACAACAGATAATGTATAATTAAACTGTATAAATGTATGACTGAAAACTCAACTTAAATTTATATTTGATTGCAATAACAAGCTATTTTTCAGTTTATTCTCCAGTACACTTTTATTTGATAATCTTTTCAACAAATAACTATATCTGTACCTAACGCAATCTTTTTTTATATATAGATTTTTTGTATACAAACTTTTACATATATACTTACTGCAGCTGTTCAGATTATTGTTGAAAGTTCAAACACTGTAATTTGAAGGGAATTTTGCAAAATAATTCCATTGTATTAGCAAAAGGTATTAGGTGAGAATTAACACACTTTTACCAAGCAAGGTTTACCTTAGTCGGAATTCCTCGTTAATAAATCCCTATAATCCTCTCTCCCAACCTTCCCAACATCTACTCTATGACTCACTCTACCTTACACAACCTGAGATAAGTGACGCGAATCTGTTATTCACAGAAATATACCACATTCTAGAAAACAGTGCGAAAACAAGAATCGTATTTCACTCATATTTGCACAAAAATCCTCACCTTATAAATAAGCGGAGAGTAAAAGATAAGACATTGTGTCTTCAGTGAGTTACTTCAGAATGAACGCGTTATTCTTTATCCTCCTCACGGTCTTCACCAGCGGATTCTGTTTCAGAATCAAGAGGGACACTCAAGACGACTCTTATTGGAACGACGCCGTCGGAGACCTCGTAAGAGGAGTCGCGTCAGAACTTCTGGAGAAAGAAGGAAGCTACATAGATGTCGACGACTTCACAGAGACTTTCGGAGGAAGTTTACTCAATGGGAAAATCAAAGCTACTGGAGGATCCATCGGGAACTTTTCCACCTTGAGGTTCGTAAACTTGACCGTCTCAACAACCTCGGACACTCTCACGGTGTTTGTGCAAGTGACGCTGGACCAGCTGGAGGTGACCTACAGCAACTTCGACGCGTCAGTCAGAATACTGTCAGTCAGCGGAGGGTTCAGAGCGTCAGTCGCCAGCAACTTGCTGACTGCCCAGGTGACCTTGACCTTGGACGATGACGACTGTGCTGCGTCGGTGGATGTCCTGGAGGTGACGGAGTTTGAGGGTATCGACCTGGCCATCACCGGGATCGACTTGGTCAATGAGAAGTTCGTCAACAAGCTGGCAAACATGGTGGTGAACAAGTTCACCCCGGAGTTGAAGCCTATGATTGAACGTGAGTTGAAGGCGAGGGTGGCCCCTTATATGTCCATGGCTTGTTCGTACCTAGATTATGATTAATTAGGATTACGTGCAATGGTTAATGTCTCATTAGCTTTATTAATCTGTAAACTATAAACTAGTCAGTATTTAATTAATGTTAGGGCTTTGACATTAGTTAGGTAACAAACAGTAAATAGATTATTCAGCAAACGTCTAATGTTATCTTCCTTTGGAGTTTACAAATAAATATTAGATAATATACACGATTTTATAAAGTTTCTAAATTTGTATTCGTTTAAATAACTTCTTGATTAGAATAGTACGTGTGTTTAAATTTACAGGAAGTAAATATAAATATGTCTAGTAGAATTTAAAATGTCTATTTACACCACTAGTAATTACTTAAATGACGGTAGTGTTCTAACAGATTTACCATCTGTTATACGTATTTACAATCTTTTAACAGTATAAATGTAATAATATGTTTTGAGTGTTATTACATAAAATACTGACCGCTACTGACAATGTATTGGTTTACTTACCACTAATGAGAGATACAGTATGTCAAGACTCTACTTATTATTCAAACTTTTTTTATATTACTCGTATATTCAAGAACTTATTCCTGTTCTTGCTTACAATGAAATGTTAGATATTTAGTGTTTAGAATATACAAACAAACCATTTTTTATCATAGTTAGGACAAATTTGTGATTGTAATATATTTATGTAATTTTACGTGTTATACTAAACTGTGCAATATTTTTACATGAATAAACAATGTTATATAACGCTTTTTTAAATTGTATTTATTTAAATCCCAACATTCATTACTGTATGATATCAAGTATAAACATTGTGTTAAATAATTTATAAATTCCAATATGTTTTTAAATTTTATATGAAGAATGATAAGAGTTAAGCACACCAAGTTTACATTTGGAGCAATCAGCATTTAGCTGCTTCCAAACTTTACCAAAGTTAAGTAATGAGAATATTTGTCTAAATTATTCATTTTAACAGTTTTTCAGTTATTCTGAGCTGTTACTGTTATGTCTGTCAAGCTATAACTGTATTGCTGACGGAAGATACAAATGTTCACATATTTAAGTTGCTTAAAACCTTGTGAATACTAAGTATACCAGTAATTAGTAACCATGACGTACATCAAACAATTGATTTAGTCATAGAATAATATACAACTTAATTTAAAAAAAGTTATAACCACTTTTACTTTTGAAAATGGACGTTCCGATTCACCAGTTAACAAGCAGAAAAGAGGCAAGATAAGATTTAATTAATTAATGTTCTCGGCCGTTATCCGAGCACTTGACCATATGAAAATCCCATTATCTTACAATTTAATTTGCTAGTTTTGGTCTATTATGTATCTGTTATCAAGCAGTTTCGTCTTTGTATAATATATTTATTAGGGTTTTCTCAAAAGATGTCTTCTTTTGGAGAGAAATTTAAAAATATATAACCCAATTAATATTTAATTGAAAATAATGGTATTTGCATAGGGTAGTAGTCAAAAAATATGAACTGTATATTGACTTGGCTGCTATATGGTGCATATTTTTTGACTACTACCCTCTGTAGTGTATTCCAACTTAGGTTGGGCGTTTGTGTATTGTTAGTTGTAATGTGTTAGTTAAGTTTTTTTCACCTGAGGACGGGATCAGATTCCAGATCCCGAAACGTTGTGTATTGTGTTTTACATTCGTGATAGAAAATGTCCGCAATAAACCTTTGAACAGCTATATACTACTAGTATTCTGGAATACATATGACGACATTGATTCGGTGCGTGATTCAATGAATGATAATCGTTAGTAATTTTAAAAGGTTAACAAAAATACTTGTGACTTTTGAACAGTCCAGCAGCTCAGGCCGTGCTAAAATAATAATTTGATGAATCTCAACTTATAACTCATCCTAAGTTGTTATAGCTTTAATAAGTGGCTTAACATGTCACTATGGAAAATAATTGACTGATGTGGGAGGCATGGCCGGAAAGGCTAGTATAGAAGTAATTTCCGCAAAATGTTGAACTCTTTGAATGTTTAAAAATCAATAAAGAACACATTTAATATAACACCCGCTATGTTATGTTGTTGATCTAAAGCTATTCCATTTCAATACCATTCGTCCAAGGAAGATTACCTAGAAGTTCAATTTTGTCACATCATCGATGGGCAAACTAGTTAAATTTGTCTTCCAGATTAATTCCAAACCAGTAAATTATATCTAACACTATTATTATCGCGAATGCTAACATTTGCAATCAAATAAGTCTCATATGACGTTTAGACTTAACAATCAATTTTACTCATAACCTTTAGAAGGTTATGTAGATATTACTCATCCTTTTTTCAAGTTTGCTTTGTTTATGTGTCATAAGAGTTAAACCACGATTTAATCATTCTTTATTATCGAGTGAATTTGT